TTCACTGACATATACAACAAAAGCCCCTATCTCACTGAGATCGAGAGAATGAAAGTAGCCTACTACATTTCTCCCTCTCTCTTTCTCTCGCTCTCTCTCACACACACACACACACACACACACACACACACACACACACACACACACACACACACACACACACACACACACACACACACACACACACACACACACACACACACACACACACACACACACACACACACACACACACACACACACACACACACACACACACACACACACACACACACACACACACAGGAGTTGCCCATTTGACCTGCTGGCCTGGTTTTCTTCTCCTCTCAGCTGTTTTACAGCATTACTTCTGGATAGCGCGTGTCTGCAGAGTTTTTTCCACCGTGTCTATCAAGAGCGCAGCGCGCAAGAGCCAATCGCAACCGTTTTTGTTGAGGGTGTGATCAATCAAAGAGGTGTAAGAGAACTAGACAAGGATCAGAAAGTGAGCTGGATGTTTATATTTGTTTATATTATTTGCTAAATGCTCGTTTTGTTTAAAGTTACAGTTTATATATCTGACTGTTTGTAATAAATGACAAAATTGTATTACAAATAATATATAAATATAAATACAGGGCTCGAAATTGCGACCATTTTGGTCGCATATGCGCCCGAAAATTAATCTATGTCACCTCATAATATATGTGGGCACATTAGTGCGACTGCAGATAATGGTTGTAGTGCGACCTGTTTTGATTTTTTTTGTAAAAACGTGCTGAATCGCTCTTCCCTGCCGCTATATTAGCTGTCATTCACTCAAGGTATTGCGCTGTCAGATGACAGGGAAGGAGCTTTTATGACCACGGGAAATGCAAACGGCTGAAGAGTAAAAACTTAAAGCACACAGGTTTGCAAAACCCACCTAAAGTTGAGGCGCAGATGAAAGCGATCATGACACGTCACGTGGTGAATAATGATCCGCCAGCTGAGATCAATAGAGTACGCGCTTCTTGGAGAAGGTGCCCGAATCTCCATGCGTTGCATTCACTGCGTGTTCAGCGCAATTGTCCGCTAAAAGTCAAATCTAGTACTGTTCATATCATCGCCAAAGAAGCTCGCCTTTACTAAGTTTACACTGAAACTGCGGCTCATAACAATGACCGGTATTGCGCCGATGGTTAGCGCAAGAATCCTGCGCTGCCTGCTCATAAATTGGGTCGGCTGACTCGCCTGCTTTTCCACTAACACAGAAAAATGAAGATCATCTCAGACTGAACCTATAAATTGACACAAACTGAAACCAAAACTTTTAAAGAGTGATAGAAGTGAGACTTTACTTACTTTCTTTTGTCTATTCTTGTTTGAGGTGTATATTATTTTTTATTTATTTACTGATGACTGCTTTGCAGCTTTCAGCATTGAATTTAATTATTTATTATAATCTTTTGATTGTTTTTAGCATAAATATTATTTATTAAATTGACATGCATATAAAAACAGCAGTACAAAATAAATATTTCTTACTGCAATGCTTCATTTTTGTTTGATGCAAACTATACAATTATTTTTCATAAAGTAATAGACTTTTTATAGCAGATAACCTACATTCATGCACATTCAAGGCAGCATCATAATGAGAAATGGAATTCATTGTTACTATTATTGTCATTTTTTATCATCATTAATATTCTATGGCCTAATTATTAGACATTCATTTTGGAATTATTGCTCACAAATATCGATGTTTTCGCAGCTTTAGTTAGATAGTTGTTTCTGGTTTTTGTCAGTCCTATTAATGTTGTTTTAAAATACAATATTATACAATAATCCTTTAAAATACAATTTGCAGCTGTGCTCATTCATTTTTGGTGGGTGCTCCTAAATTTTTTCTGGTGCTCCTAAAATTTTTTTGGTGCTCCTAAATATTTGAAGTTGGGAGCACCGGTGCTACCAAGTAAAAAAGTTAATTTCGAGCCCTGTAAATATATTCATACATTTTAATACAAGAACTGTTGCTGTGAAGAAAATATAAAACTGTGTATGAAAAGCACCGTCAATGCACCGTGATGCACCGAGATATGGAATTGAACCGAATCGATGGCATGATAATTGTAACCGAACCGAACCGTGAGACCAGTGTAGGTTCACAGCTCTAACATGTACAATGTTTATTTTGCTAGTGCTCATTTTAAGAGGTGGGAGGGGTGTAGACAGCTTGCTGTTTTAGGGGCGTGTTACTTCACGTCACAATTTGTTTCTACTTCCCGCCCAATTTAACAAGGAGGCGGAGCCAAGAGCTCCCTGCTTTGTATATCTCAGGCAGACAGAGAGAAGCAACATGAGTGAGAGGACCAGCATTCAGCCGTACATGTACAACCCAGACTCAGACCAAGCAGAGTCTACTATTGAGGAATCAATTTTCCTAATGTGCCAGAAGGTGTCAGAGTGGTAGTTACAGAATTATTTTTGTCTTTGTATAGCTTTACAGCCGCTATGCAAACGATGCATGCCTCATCCGTATAGGGATGCAATGATTAACCGGTTTCACTATTAACCACGCTTTAATTGTAAGCAGAAGAACTTTGACTATCTTTGGGAAACATATATAAATATTATGTAAATTGTGTGTTTGTAAACATGTTTTTTTTTATTTTTTATTTTTTTTATTGTATTATTGTTTTTATTTTGTCATACATATATATAGTCTAATTATTTATTTTTTTACCAATGTTATTTGAATGTGTATATGTGTGTATGTATATGCGTATATACATATACTGTACAAGAAGGGTGTAGATATGTGCTGTGTTGGCTGCATTGTTGTTGTATGCCTAGTTGATGGGGGGGAAGGGAAAAAATAATAAAAAATAAAATAAAAAAATTTAAATAAAAATAAATAAATAAATACATTTTTAAAAAAAATGTAAATAAAAAAAATAAATAAATAAATAGCTTTAATTCATCACGGTTAATTAATGGTAAAGGCTTCTCAACAACATATTTCTGCCCTGATCAAAACTGCGGCAACTAAAAGTTATGCCAACCCTGTGCTAGTTTAAAGTTCCGAGCTTGTACACAGAGACTAAACACACACACACACACACACACACACACACACACACACACACACACACACACACACTGGATTAACTTTGACTGAGGCTATAACTAGGGTGAGTTCGTTATTTCCAATGGAGGGACATGCATTGGAGTCTTTTCAGAGAGAGTGCTGAAAGACTGGGTGGATCAGCTGTTTTTAATGGGCTGTATTTCGATACGTTGCATTCAGGGCTTTACATTAACACCTGCCAACCCGCCAAATGCGGGTAGATTTCAGTTGTGGTGGGTTAGAAAAAAAAGTGTAAAAAAATAAATAAATAAATAAACCTCGGACTTCTTTTTGTTGATTTGACGTGCCATGTTAAAAACTGTTCTTTAGGGCTGCACAATACTGGAAAAACATGCGATATTGTTTTATTGTTATATAACGATGTTTGTTACAATATCACATTTCCCTAGAAAATGCATTTTTTTATAAGCTAGGTTTTAAAATCATTTATTTATTTAATGATATTAAAATAAAAAGATAAGACATTTTTCAGATCTGATTTATTCTAATTCAGACTAAAATTGGTGTCAAAATGCAAACATTTATTCTTTAAAACACTATGGATGATTGAAAACCTGATATTCTGACTGTGATTGGGTGTTGTCATTTTCCTCTCATTTCGACTCCTGCCTCAACTATTTATTTTCAACTCTTTTTTTTTTTTTTTGGTTTGCTTTGGTAATTTTTCATTAAAATCTGGCCATTTACTTCTGCTACATATCTTAGTCTTTCTGTGATAACATCAGTTTGACGGACTGGGCTAAATGTTTATCCTCCAACTATTAACTTACTGTGATGAGAGAAGATGAGAGAAGTACAAAAATAAACCCAGACCCATCCTTAATATTACATTTTAGTTGTAAACGCATCATCATACTAAAATAAAAGCTTCCTGTTCACATGAACTTTAAAGCATTCAAACAGATCAGATACAGATATAGGTTAGTGATATCTGACTGGTCAAATATTAACTCATGCTGTAGAAAGTCTCTTGGTAATCTCTAACTTCAGCTCTAACTTTGTTTCAGAGAAATCTTGGCTTAAAATATTTAGCTCATTAAATAATAATAAAAAAAAGTTTATATATATATACACACACACACATTAGGATAATAAAATCACCTTTATATCAATAACATATCAAAATATAGCTCAACAAATAAAACAAACAGTGTATATAAACACACATATTAGGATAATGAACATTATCTTTACATCATTACAAATAATAATAGACAGACTTATTAATGACTGGACTGTTTATTTGCTGATTGCCTTTAAACTGTCAGCAAAATTACTGTGCATTTTATGAATATAATTTATATATCATCCAATACCTTAAATCTGCTCTCTGTGAGGGAATTATTGTTACAATAAAATGCAATCGATTATTTACTTACAAAGCCCATTTAAAGACAACCAATATATTAGTGGCGTATGCTAGAATAATAAAAGATGGAGAATAAAAATAAAAAAAAAGATTAAACAAATAACGCTTTCAAATTTAGAAATGACAATAAAACCCAGTCATCAAGGAGTATTAAAAGTAAGAGAAATTCAAGTGTTTTTGTAAAGTGTTTTTTACAATAATTACTGTTTCAAAGCAGCTTTACACAAGATGCACATTATTGCATTACAATCAAAATCAGAAAGGTTAGTTGTGTGTAGGCATGGGACCGATACCGCAGTTTGGAAAAGTCAAGGTTTTAAAACTGCCAAAATTTTCTGCTGTACCGATTCTAAGGTATGAGTAAGATTTTTTAATTTGTTTTTTTAGGACAACAGTATCTTTAGCAGAGAAAAATATCTCAAGATGCCGTTTTTAATTGTAAAGAAATCTGTGTTTTTGAAACTAATGAAGACAGCAGAATGTCAATGATTCCTCTTAATTATCTAGCCTGACATGTTAACTGCTCTAAAATATTCCTAATCTTTATATAACAAACAATATAAACAATATATATATATATATATATATATATATATATATATAAGATTATCATACTGTCAGTATCTTATCCCAGCCCATGACTACAGTCAGAATTATTAGCCCCCCCTTTTAATTTTTTTTCGTAAATATTTCCCAAATGATGTTTAACAGAGCAAGGGAATTTTTACAGTATGTCTGATAATATTTTTTCTTCTGGAAAAGTCTTATTAGTTTTATTTCGAACAAGAATAAAAGCAGTTTTGTTTTTTTTTTAAACACCATTTTAAAGGGACAAAATTATTAGCCCTTTTAAGCCAAATTTTTTTCGATAGTCTACAGAACAAACCATCGTTATACAATACAGTAACTTGCCTAATTACTCTAATCTGCCTAGTTAACCTAATTAACCAAGTTAAGTCTTTAAATGTCACTTTTAGCTGTATAGAAGTGTCTTGAAAAATATCTAGTCAAATATTATTTACTGTCATCATGGCAAACATAAAATAAATCAGTTATTAGAAATGAGTTATTAAATCTATTATGTCAATGGGGTTCGAGTCCAGTGAAAAACAGTTCCAGAAAGCAGGAAAGACAAAAACAAAAATGCAAAAAAATTAAATAAACAAGTAAATAACAGAGTGAGAATGCAGTAAAATCTGAAAACGTGGATTGCTTTTGAAAACACTATAGGTTGGGTTTTGGGAAGAAGAGGTGGGCAAGTCAATCAGTGCTTTTGAAAATACTATCGGTTGGGTTTAGGGAAGGCGGTGGGCGGATCAATCAGTGATTTTGAAAACACTATCGGTTGGTTTTAGACAAGGCGGTGAGCGGGTCAATCAGTGATTTTGAAAAACACTATCGGTTGGGTTTAGGGAAGAAGAGGTGGGCGAGTCAATCAGTGCTTTTGAAAACACTATCGGTTAGGTTTAGGGAAGGCGGTGGGCGGGTCAATCGGTGCTTTTAAAAAAAAACACTGTCGGTTGGGTTAAGAGAAGTGGGTGGGCGCTGGTCAATCTGTGCTTTTGAAAACACTGTCGGTTGGGTTAAAGGAAGTGGGTGAACGGGTCAATCGGTGCTTTTGAAAACACTATCGGTTGGGTTTAGGGAAGAAGAGGTGGGCGAGTCAATCAGTGCTTTTGAAAACACTATCGGTTGGGTTTAGACAAGGCGGTGGGCGGGTCAATCAGTGCTTTTGAAAACCCTATCGGTTGGGTTTAGGGAAGGCGGTGGGCGGGTCAATCAGTGCTTTTGAAAACACTATCGGTTGGGTTTAGGGAAGGCTGTGGGCGGGTCAATCGGTGCTTTTGAAAACACTGTCGGTTGGGTTAAGAGAAGTGGGTGGGCGCTGGTCAATCTGTGCTTTTGAAAACACTGTCGGTTGGGTTAAGGGAAGTGGGTGAACGGGTCAATCGGTGCTTTTGAATACACTACCAGTTGGGTTTAGGGAAGGATTCAGGGGTGGGTCAGACAAGCAGTAAGTCAGTCAACAGCGTCCTCTGGTGGGTTTACGCGAGAACAACAGGCAATTTTGGCACTTGTGAGAGAAATTTAAGATCTCAAAAAGCATACACTGTGGCGTCTGGTGGATTCGCAAGAACAAAAACTGCAAAAAAAAAAAAACATACCTCCTGGGACATATTTGGCACTCTACAGAAATTTATATAGGGGTACGTCTTTAGAATTAGCCTGGGTTGTTTAAAACAGCATTTGCAAAAGTAAGAGTGGCATAAATGTGCTAATTTCACCCACATTCTTCACTGAATTCCTCAAGTCTGAGGTGTAAATGAGTGAATGTGAAAATCTGATAAAAACATCAATGTCATCAGTCATGTTGGCCGGCAGATAAGACTGTGGGAACTTACTAGCAGGTCAAGAGCAGAGGATAAACTGTACAAATGGCATTGAGAGTATCTCATAGGTGAAATGAAGAATGAGGTTGCACATGGCACACTGTAAATATTTTACATCTTGGCTGCATGTCAAACATGACGTGATGTTTTAGATAAGAGCAATTTAACAGCAAAATCATGGGTATCTTAGCATTTGTGCTGCTGAGTGTACTGTAATAAATTCAAGCAAATGTATTTTGACAGACGGTATAGATGAGCTCCATTGCGAATACAGAATAAACATGAAAACTTCTAAAACAAGAAAAACTGGCCTATTCACAACACTTGCTTTTTTTTTTGCCAGCACAAGAAGAAATTCGAACTCAGTCAATTATGTCAAAATGAAATAAATTAAAATAAAAGTTTTAAAATTTAAAAACATAATAAAAATACAACAAAAATAACATAAAAGTTTAAGACAATAATAAAACAAAAGAAATTTAATAATAATAAAACAAAATTAAATAGTTTCTAAATAAAAACATGACTAAATTGTTTAAAAACAAAAAGAAAATGTAATGGTTTAACTTAAAAACTAAATTAAATTAAATTGTTTAAAAATAAAAGCTAAATTAAATGGTTTTAAAATTAAATTAAATTAAATTAAATTAAATTAAATTAAATTAAATTTAAATTAAATTAAATTAAATTAAATTAAATTAAATTAAATTAAATTAAATTAAATTAAATTAAATTAAATTAAATTAAAAATAAAATAAAATTAAATTAAACTAAAAATAAAATAAAATAAAATTACTTTTAACAAACTGACAACTCATGAGGTATGACCCAAGGTTTATAGTAGTCAATGTTTGAACTGGATCAAAAAAATATAAGCTTTTGACTGATTTCTAAAACAATCCTATCCACGACACTTACTTTTTTGCCAGCACAAGAATAAATTCAAACTATGTCAATATTGTCAAAATAAAATATAGTTTTAAAATGAAATTTATGAGCATAATAAAAAAATTCAACTAAAATAAAATAATGTAAAATCATAATAAAACAAAAAACTATAAAACAAAACTAAATTTGTTTCAAAATAAAATTTAAAAACATAATAAAACTATTTCAAAATAAAAACAAAATTGATATGTTTCAAAATAAAAACTAAATCAAATTGTTTAAAAACAAAATAATAAAATGACAACTCACAGGGCATGACACAAGGTTTATAGTAGTCAACAATTGAAGTGGATCCAAAACATAGTTTATGAAAATTGTCTAAAACTATTAAACAACACCCACTTGTCTTAAAAAAAATGCCTCCACTTCAAATGATTACTACTATTTAAATAAAGTCTAACAACTTAAAATGAATATTAACTTATGAAATTAGGGGTCACCAACCTCAACATATTGGCAATTAACCATTTTATTTCATTAAATATAGAGTTTGCCAAGAAACAGATGATAAATATTTGCATAAAGCAGACGCAACATACCTGATAACTACTCCAAATAAAGTCATGATGGCAGAAAGTCTATTTCAAGAACTAAGTTTCGGAGCCAAAAGATGATGCTGGCATTAGCAGGTCTATCTGAAACATCTCCAAATTCTTCAGAGGAGCAGTTTAACAGTGGTGTGGCAAACATTATAACTTTACAACAAACAGTTCAGGGATAGGCCATAGATACCAGTAGCAGAGGAAGGAGAAAAATAAAATAATGTAAATAAAAACAGAAAATGTATTTTGCGACACCACATTTAGCTCCTAACAATGATAAAACTGTACATAACAGTACTGTACAGTGGAAAAGACCACACAGAAAAGGACTATTGCTTTTTTTTTACATTTTAAATCACATTTGAATGCACTTTTGCTAACTTTATTTAGAACTTCAGGACAAATGTTTGATTAAGAATGTAGATTACATCAAATAAATAATAATAAAATGTAAACAACACTTCTTAGAAACCAACGATTACAGGTCAGACATAAAACATTGCTAATTATAATGTAAAAAGTAAACACTGTACATTCAAGTGTGCAGCTTTTCTCTTTATACTGTTATTCATCTTTCTGTCAGCATCATCCACATGGTGGAGTGAAATATTGATCCAAATCATCATTATAAGCATTACTCTAAACAAGAGCATAAATTTGAAAAAATAGTACAGTGATGTAT